CTCAGATTGGGAGAAAATAATAGCAAATGAAGCAACAGACAAAGGATTAATCTCAAAAATATACAAGCAACTCCTGCAGCTCAATTCCAGAAAAATAAATGACCCAATCAAAAAATGGGCCAAAGAACTAAACAGACATTCTCCAAAGAAGACATACAGATGTCTAACAAACACATGAGTAGATGCTCAACATCACTCATTATCAGAGAAATGCAAATCAAAACCACAATTAGGTACCACTACACACCAGTCAGAATGACTGCTACCAGAAGTCTACAAGCAATAGGTGCTGGAGAGGGTGTGGAGAAAAGGGAACCCTCTTACACTGTTGGTGGGAATGCAAACTAGTACAACCACTATGGAGAACAGTATTAAGATTCTTTAAAAAACTGGAAATAGAACTGCCATATGACCCAGGAATCCCACTCCTGGGCATATACACCAAGGAAACCAGATCTGAAAGAGACAGGTGCACCCCAATGTTCATTGCAGCACTGTTTATAATAGCCAGGACATGGAAGCAACCTAGATGACCATCAGCAGATGAATGGATAAGAAAGCTATGGTACATATACACAATGGAATATTAGTCAGCCATTAAAAAAATAGATTTTAATCAGTTCTGATGAGATGGATGAAACTGGAGCCCATTATACAGAGTGAAGTAAGCCAGAAAGATAAATACCAATAAAGTGTATTAACGCATATGTATGGAATTTAAAAAGATGGTAACGATAACTTATATGCAGGACAGAAAAAGAGACAAAGATGTATAGAACAGATTTTTGGACTCTGTGGGAGAAGGCGAGGGTGGGATGATCTGAATGAATAGCATTGAAACATGTATATTATCAAGTGTGAAACAGATTGCCAGCCCAGGTTGGATGCGTGACCCAGAGGGATGGGATTGGGAGGGAGGTGGGAGGGGGGATCAGGATGGGGAACATATGTAAATCCATGGCTGATTCATGTTAATGTGTGTCAAAAACCACTACAATATTGTAAAGTAATTAGCCTCCAACTAATAAAAATAAATGAAAAATAAATAAAAAGAGTGAGATGCTTCTATGTGTTCACAAATTTATATGTGATTCTGCATGATGGAGATGTAAATAAAACACAATCTTTTGCATTGCATTTAAGATTTAAGAAAATTGTCACACTTACTTTTGTTTCTGTCTCAATTGGAAGAAAATTTTAAAATAATTCTTCCTTATGTTATCAAGACAAACTGACTTTCATAGAGGGAAAACAAAATTCTTTTTTTAACAAAAATCTTATCAAGCTTTGAACTTGATGTGTTACATTTACTGTTACATATTTTAAAGCATATTTTACAATCACCATTGTTTGCAACTTGTTTTATTTTATGGAAATATTTCAACTTGAAATAAATGCAACAAAAAATCTTTAATACCATGAAAAAAACAGTGATAAAACTTTCAGCTTAGAGCAGTTCTTATCTACCATATGAGCTACTAGATTAGTGAACAATAGTTTCTTGTATAAGGAGTACTCTGCTTAGAAGCTATTTACCATTCTAAATGATTATATTTTTCCTTGAGTTTGACTGCATTCAAGAAGATAAGAAGAACCTTAAGAATGCTGCTCATCCCCTAAGGCAAAACAATATGAGGGTGAACCAGTTGGTCGTGACCTCTCTCATAGGGTAAAAGAAGAGTAGTGAGTGAGTACCAGGTTATTTCAGCTTTGTGGGATGCATTTCTTACCAGCAGCACCTATAGGACTGAGGTTGGACACCAATGGCTCAGGAGAGGAAATATATTTGGGAAAGGGGCAGAAGTTGGCCCACAAACCTCTCAGAGAATTTCACTGAAGGATTCCCCCTGCTAGGTCTGTGGGCTCTCCCAATACTGAGTGCTAAACTCACACCTCCCTCATTCTGAAAATGGCTCCCTGTGTGCACCTCCAAGTGCAGAGGTGAGAGTAAACAGAGTGCTTTCAGAAAAACAGAACAGAGTTTCAGGTAGGGAAAAAAATACACATTGAGTTATAATGCCACCTTGTTGAAAATAAAACAGAGTTTTCCAGCATCTAGCCTGGCAAGAACCAAAGAGAACACAAAAGGTTAAGAATTCTGCTATAAGAGTGAGTGCAGAAATGGAGAGCAGGTGTCTCCATACAAGGTTTGAGAATACCCTAGATACAAGCAAGACCAACAAAAAAATATTCTACTTGAATACAGATAATAAAGTTTGTGAGAGGTGACTGCTATCAATACTTCAAATGTGAAAGTAGCAACAAAAATCCAAGGATCATGAAGGAACAAGGAAACATGTCATCACCAAAAGACAATGATAACTTTTTCAGTTATCAAACTCAATGACCTAGATCTAGCTGATAAAGAATTCAAAACAGCCGTTTTGAGGAAACAAAGAAAGCACAGAAAGACAGTTCAGTAAAACACAGGAAAACAACACATAAGAAAAATGAGAAATTTAACAGAAGAACAGAAATCATTTTTTAATGATTCTTTGATTCTAGAAATTCTGAAGAAGAACTCAATTAATGAAATGAAAAATGTGATTAACTATATGTATATAGCAATATATATATATATACACATATATATACAGCATATACATATATATGCAGCATATATACGTGTGTACAACATATATATACAGCAGAGTAGACCAAATGGAAGATATAATAAGTGATCTGAAGGACAGAAAATGTGAAATAACAGAGAACAAAGAAGTAAGACCATAAGAAAGGATGAATGATCTATGTGCTTAGCCACGCTCAATCATGTCCAACTCTTTGCAGACCCATGGACCATGGCCCTTCAGGCTCCTCTGTCCATGGAATTCTCCAGGCAAGAATATTGGAGTGGGTTTCCATGCCCTCCTCCAGGGTATCTTCCAACCCAGGGATTGAACTCAACTCTCCCGCATTACAGGCGGATTCTTTACTATCTGAGCCACCAGGGTGGGGGGTGGGAGGACTACAAAATGTAAAATGTTAAATAATTGGGATTCCAGAAGAAAAAGAAAGGGAGAAGGGGCAGAAAGTTTCTTTTAAAAAATGGATTAGAACTTCCCTAACCTGAGGAGAAACTTAGACATCCAAGTTCATGAAGCTAATAAATCACTTTTATCTCAATGCAAAAAAGATTTCTCCAAGACACACTAAATGAAACTGTCAAAAAAAATCAAGCATATAGAATCCTAAAAGCAACCAGAGATAAAAAGATTGTAACCTATAAAGGAACCCCCATTTGGCTATCAGAATATTGCTCTGCAGAAAGTCAGAAAAGGATGGAATGATACATTTACATTGTTAACAAAAAATTCAGCCAAGAATACTCTATCCAGCAAAGTTATCCCTCAGGTATAAAGGAAAAATGAAGACTTTTCCAGGCAAATGAAAGTTAAGGGAGTTCATTGCTGCTAGGCCTACCTTGCAAGAAATGCTGAAAGAAGTTCTTAATGCTGAAATGAAAAAGATGCTAGCCAGTGACATAAAAACATAGGAAACCATACAATGCATTGGTAAAGGTAAATATACAGTCATATTTGGAAAAAATCTAATTCTGTAGCAGATTGGGATATTAACCACTTAATACAAAGGCTAAAGGAAAAGATTGTTAAAATTAATACTACTGAACTACACACTTTAAAATGTTTAAGTGATTAAGGTAGAAAACTATATTTTATGCTTTTTTTTACCACAAATAAAAATTTAGAAAAGATAGTGAGGGTGAATGTTAAATTTGGGGTAAACTTGGCAGAACAGTATTGTGTTGAGCTGATGAACAGAGCTCATCAGTCAGTGAGGAGAAGGCCCTTAGTGAAAAATCTGTGAGAGGTTACAGAGAAAGTAAATAAAAGAGTGAATAGAGTGCTAACACATGGAGAGGGGTTGTGCTTTCTGTCTGGATACCTCAGTGTACCTGTAACTGGGTTTCTCTCTTTATACACCAGATGGCCAGATCAGAATGTCAGCTATGAGAGCCTCAGACCAGGATGATCAGCAAGGGGAAAGAAGGGATGGAACTTCGGATCTTGGTATAATGACTTTAACCATTATTAAAAAATTCCAGAAAGCTCTGTCTGGTGAATTTTGGCAACACATAGACCTTCCCTCCCACCTGCCTGCTCTGCCTGTTCAAGCTGCTGTCAGGCTTGTCATGAGGTAGCACCAACATAACTCCAGAACCCAAGTTCTCTACAAAGACTTTTATTTAAAGAGAAAAAAACTACAATGTTCTCCCTTAAAAGCCAGCATATTGAACTAAGTATAATGTAATTTTAATTCTGTTTGAAAAAGGAAATCTGATAGGTGTTAAAGAAGCTGGTAAGATATACTCCAGAGTCTGCATAAAATGAATCACCAGGTAGCAGTAGTGTATCGGCAGTCAGCAGCATAGGGAAACACAGGGTTCTAAGAGGAATGGGGCAGAGACTGAAGTCTGGACAGCTGTATCCAGTGTCCCAGTAATGGGATGACAGGGTGTGGGAGAACTGGGCAGCTGATACAGAGGTACGTGATGGAGGTAAACACTCTGCTCCTTTGGAGGGACCCTCTACAATGGGAACAAGTCAACCTACACTGATGGGGGAAGAGATACACCAATGAATGTGATGTAGCTTTAGGGTCAACAACAGATAGAATTGCTGTGATATACATAGAATTTTCCAAACAGAACTGGATTCATACTAAATAAGCCATTCCAAGGCATCTGTTATTCTTTGCAAAATGTACTTCTTTTTCTTAAAAATAAAGATGGAGGGAACCAGGTGGCCAGATAAGAATGTCAGCTATGGGAGCCTCAGACGAGGGTGTTCAGCAAGGGGAAAGAAGGGATGGAACTTGGGATCTTGGTATAATGGCTTCAATCAGAGTCCTCTGGAATTTTTCACCACCTGGCAGCAATCCCTCCTTATCTATCATTTTCTGGATTACTGAATCCTGAGATTGGAATCCAGTGGGAATCTGAGCTGAAGACAAATTTACACTAGTGAGAAGGGGGTGATTGGGCTAGAGGAGACCTAGAAAGAGAAACATACACACACAGATATGCTGTCAATCACATTTTGATTAAACTTCATCTCCCCACAAAATTGAACACAATGAATGATTTTCCAAGGCAATGAGTATATGTGTGCATGTATGTGCACTATGATTTCAGCATCACTTCTGAGACTGCTGGAAGTTCATCCCAGACTGGATGGAGAAATCCTGCACCATTTCCTGTTGCTCCAAGGAGGTGGGCATGGAGTTGACAGAGGGTTCAGGCTTTGGGATGAAGAGCACAGGCTCAGTCTTCTTGGGGCTGAAGTCACTCACAAACAGCTTATCATTCACAATACTAAAACTGAAGGAAATATGGGCTCTTAGACAACTGACAGATGTACCAACCCATACCCCCAGCAATGATCTGCTCCCACTGGCACTCAGCAACCAGATTCCTTCCATCCCCCTCCTGTGTCTGTCCCCAGGCTCCTAGAATGGTTCTTCTGCCCCTTGTACAGAGCCCACCTTCAGAGAGATTGTCTACCAGCTTCACTCAATGAATAGCCTGATTCCCAACCCAGGAACAACTTCATATCTACCCTGAACAGCAGCCCAGTACACTACAGTACAGAAGTGTACATTCTGATCCCCATTTTCAGAAGAAGATACCAAGTCACAGAGAGGCCCTTTGACTTAACCAAGGTCACACAGAGAATGAGCGTTGGGTCAAGGAGAAAACCCATTTGCTCAAGGAGAAAGCCCATGCTCTTCCTAACCACTAGGCTAGACTTCCCCTTGGAACTACCTGCTGGCTTTCCACAATACTGAGTCAGCCTAAGGTCTGCACCACCACATGCCCAGGGCCCTGAGACCAGGCTGGATGGGCCATCCCGCCCACAACACAGCTCTTACCTGGAAGGGGTGGCAGGAGTAGTGATGAAAGTCCGGGTGAAGGCACGCACACAGCCAGGAGACCTTCCTTCTACTGCAACAACAAACAATAAACAAGAGTACCCTCTTAAAGCTCCATGTGTTTACAGGTGCCCACAGGGGTCCCCAGTCAGGGTCTGACTTGTCACTCATGCTGAGGGGTCAGTTGTTCACTTGGGGAGCCTGGGTGTTAGGAATGGGGAGGGCAACTGGAGGGCAACTGGAGGGCAGTCTGCTCCCAGTAACATGTCCCCATGACAACCACTTCGCAAGTTCATGGGATACATTTTTCTTAACTGCCCAAGATGTGGGTATATGGGGAAACTGCAAGGTTAAGTATTGGCCCAAGTTCTCAGTGTAAGGATCTGGTATGGGAGCCATGAAGCTCTACAGCCTGTGTCCCTAATGCCTAGAGTGAACAGGGCAGACATGGATGCAGTTTGGACCTGGGTTGTCTGTGGGAAGGCTGAGGGCTGGAGATCACAGAGAGGAAAGGGAGGGGAGGGGAGGGAAAGAAGGGGAAGAGAAGGGGAGGGAGGGGAGTCCAGAGGAAGGGATGGAATGGAAGGCAGGGGAGGGGAGGGAAGCTGGAAGGACAGAGGGAGGGAGCCCAGCCAGGGGAGGGAACAGTGGAGCGTCCGGGAGGGATCTATGAATACTCACCTTCCTTGAACACCCCATTCACAGAGAAGCAGAGCATTGATTCCTGAAAGGGAAGAGCCCAGGTACTCAGTCACCCCCCAACTTGACTCCTCCCCATCTGCAGCTTCCCACCCCTGCTCCCAACAAGGCAGGAAGCAGGTGCCCACCGTCTGGAACCACATGTCCACCATGAAGGACCTGAAGTCATGCTGAGTTTTGGGCAACCCACAGAGGGCACGCACAATGTCACATTTTGTGTGTTTCAGCAGCTGGAACTGCAGATCTGTGGGGGAGGGGAAGCAAGCAAAGGTCAGGGACCCTATGAATCTTCCATTCACTGCCCTTTCCTGCCCAGTTTTCCCACCACACACTCACTGGGGTCCTTGAGCTTCTTCATATTCCTGCTGTTCTTGAAGTATGCACACATGCTGCTTCTAGGAGACACAGAGGAAACTTGGGTGGTGGTCCAACCAGCACAGGTGTCAGCAGGAGCTGGCCTGCATCTGCTGGGGAACCAGATGCCCCTGGGGAGGAATCTGGGCTGTGATACTCACGGGCCTGGGTCCTTGAGGTGGAATGGAATGGTCAGGGAGAAGCAGGCCTCTTCATGATAAGCACACAGGAGTCCCTGGCGGTCCCCATAATCATGGATCAAGTAATACCTGAGGAGGAACAGTGAGGACAGTCTAGCTCTGTGGTATGGAGCTCAAAGGAGACTTGAAAACACCCATGAGCAGACCTGAGTTTGGGTGGCCTCGCCTGAACTAGCCCTCCCCTTGCTCAGATTCTCAAGGGTACTTACTGCTGCAGGAATTGCAAGATTAGACTCTTCAGCTCATCAGATCCAAAGAAGCTTCCCTAGAATCAAAACAGTCCTCAGGACCAGGGCTGACACCCCCTTGTGTACCACCTAGAACCCTGCTGGATCCTCCATGCTCACCTTACATGTTGGTAAGCACTTGGGGACTTCAATAGCACACTTAGGCCCTGAGGGTGTGTCCTGGCCATCCTAGGGGAGGGAAGAGGAAGTCAGCAAGGCAGTCCAGGATGTGATGCTGGATCAGGGAAAAGAATGGGCCCAGGATGGGGCGGGGGTCTGAAATCAGAGGAGAAAGGGTCCTGGAAAGGCCAGGGGCAGGACTACATGTTCTGTCATTTTCATGGGTCCCCGAAGCCTGTGGAGAGCATGGCTGAAGAAGATTCAAGGCCTTTTCAGGTTCCCACGGAGGATGGTACACTCTTCCTCCCACAGGACATGTAAGGGTCAGGTTCAAAAATGGAACTCGGACAGGTCCTAATGGGTTTCAGAGTAGTTTGTGGGCACTGTCAGTGCTAGTTAGAGGAGTCTGTGATCAAGGGATACGCTTACCAAGCTTAGTAACCTGGGGAACAACTCCAGGATGGTGCTGCCAAAATCAAGACAAAAGAGAAAAGCCAGTGAAAATGTGGACGTGACCCTCCTCATGGGAGCAAGTTACTTACGGCAATCACAGCCCTCTGTGTGCCCCCCTGCCCACTACGCAGTATCCTAGACTTCCAGAGCCTTGGTCACCACTCCATGGGCTGACCCAGAGGAAGACTGCTCCCTCCATCCCTTCCTCCCACTCCATCTTCCTGCTCATTTCCCCTGGGTAGCTCCCAGCCAGAATGTCCTGACTCCCTTCTCCAGTGCCACAAAGACCAGCAATTCAAACCCTTGCTGGAGGTCTTCCTCCCCTCCCTTCCTTCCTTCCTCCACCACCCAGTGAAGTCTGTGGAGAGAAGAGGAAATGGGGTGGGGGTGGGGGATGAGAGCCCAGGGCTTTGCTACTTCACAGGGGTTTCATCACTCTGTCAAGTCAGGACAAACCTCAGGGATGACCCAGGAGGCTGTGACAGGGAGGTGAGTGAGGTGGGACTCAGGAGGGAGGGAGGGGGATGAAGATAGACATGGAGTGGAGGGAGGAGGTGAGAGATGAGAGAGACAGAAGGGTATAGAAACAAGGTAGAGAGAGACCTTATGTTGGTTGACTTATCAGGGGAGGTGGTGCAGATGGCATTTCTGTCAACCCACATCCCTTCTGGTTCCAGCTGTTGACCCTTGTCCATCTCCCCAGCAGACTTCACCTGGAATTATGGGGAACACCCACATGGACTAGATGGCTTTGCATCCACACCCGTCCTTTCTCTACAAATCCACTTCCCATCATCTGTCACCATCCCATAAGCCTTCCCACATCCATTTTAAAGGAAGAAGATTCAAGTTCTTGGTGTGGAAAGCATTATCCATAATGGTGGACAGGCTATGCACCATGTAGGGTTTTTTGTTGCTCTGGTCCAAGGATGAAAGCTATGATGAAGAAAGAAGAGTGAGGACTCCAAAGGGGATATCTGAGACCAATATGCCTCTTCTATCTGATCTCTCCAATCCTCACCACGAGCCTCAACATTGGGCCTAGGTCTTCATCTTGGACCTGATCCCTGGATGGATGTGCAGGGAGGCAGGCATGCCATTTCTATGGTTCCATGTCATTCCAATATCACAGATCATCAAGTCTCCAGGAAACCAGGAGGGAAACACAGGCTGAGAGGGCCCTGGCTGGTGCACCTCCAGCACCACCCCATCCCCATGATATCATCTCTGAGTGTCCTTCCCAGACAGACCCTCTACCCTCACCTGTCCTACAGTTACTACTATAGCCATATCAGGGCCAAAGAGGAGTCTCTGGATGTCAAGAGATTGCTGGTGGAAATCATATGGTTTGTTCATGGTCAGCTTCAGAGTTAGGGATGGGGTTTAGTGGCTCTGTGTCTGAGGGTGAGTGGGGGGAAGAGGTGGGTTTGGGTATCAGTGCACAGCTTGTGTTGAGTCTGCATTACCTTCATCTGCTCCACCTTTTCAGACTTCAGTGTTTTCTGCACAGATGGGGGTGCATCACAGGGTTCAACAAAGATAAATATCTGTAGAGAACACAAGAGGGGCTGGGTAAGCTCCAGGAAATCTGTGCATGGGATCAAGCAAGACCATGCCCCTCTCCTTCCCTCTTGCCCCTATTCAGCCCTGTTCATGCCCTTGACACACACCTTTTCATTATCCTCACTGAAAATCTTGCCATTGACATTCTTCAGTGACCAGGCAATGCTGGCATTCTCTACAAAGAACTGGGCCTGCATTTTCTCATAGTGAAACTGTAGGGAGAGTGACAAGAAAAGAAAAATATGAGACCAGAGCCATTTCTTATCTGGGCCTGCCACTTACCCCATTTCATCTCATCATTTCCATGTCCTGTCTTACTTCGACTGGAATGAAGGGGACACTGCATTGCTTCTGAATCAAATTCAGCAGCCACTTCTCATCATATTTTATACCAAAGGGAATCTAGAGGCCAAAGAAGAAATGGGAAACAAAATTGATGCAATAGAATCCAAGGTTAAGATAAGACCCAACTGTGTCTTATTTTAGGACCTATTTTCAGGCTTTAAATAAATTCTTAAGATAGGACAATATCTGTTATTGCTAACTTTTGTACAAGGCATGGATTTGCTAAATATAGTTTCTTTCCATCATATACTCTTCCTGAAAAAAAAATAACTTAATATGTTTCACATGCATTTCCTTTTATAAAGTTCCAAGAGATCCATGTGAGATAGACCTGGCCTGCCACTCTGACATGGACCGCAGAGACTCAACATCCTCCCACACTCAGCTTGAGCCAAACTGTGTGATCTGGTGTGAAGTGCTTCATCTCCCTGGCAGTAGGTCTCCTCCTTTGCTTTTAGACAATCTCTCCCATGCTCCTCCTTGCAGTCAGTCTGTTTCCTTTCTATTGCTTCTCTGAACTTGCCCTTAGATAATCTAGGAAGATAGTCCCTAATAATAAGAAGACATTACCAACACCACTGCCCCAGAAAAGTTCTCAGCATCTCTACACAAATCCAACATGACTCTCTCTGTCATCTTCTACATATTAGGTCCATTTAGCCAGAACACTCACTATGATCTTGAACCAGCTCCCCAAGGTCTCATCCTGTCTGTTTCTCTCCATTTTTCTCTCTGGAGGCTTTTGCTTTGTCTCCATATTAATATGCATTTGGTCTTTTTTCTGAAAACTGCTTCTCTGATGATGGGGTGGAACAGCATAGGGAGCACTGTGGGGAAGTGGAGAGAAGAAAGTGGTCCATATAGACTTAGAAAGTCTTCTCCACATTTTCCCACATGATAACAGCTACAATAAAGATTGCTTAAACATTAGCCAGATCCCATCATTCCTTATTCTTCCAGATTGGAGAGAAGAATAACATGTTTAACTACAAGGTTTTGTTGTTCACTGATTGGTACATGTCAGCCATGCTGACTGGTCACTTACTATCTTGCTTGGACATCCATGGGAACATCACCTGAATCATTATCTTGTTGCTGCTTGGAAGTGACATGTTCAGACGAATAGTTGTATCGCCTTCGGTAAAACCTCCAGCTTCGTGCTCTTCTTTGTAAAGGGTTCAGTTTATCAGAGTGCTCTAAAATTGACAATAACAGGTCAGTGGTCTTAGTACCAAAAGTCTTGGGTAAATATCATGGCTAAGGAAAAAATATCACTGACTGTAAAATCTAAACAGAAATGCAACACAGTGCTAAAAACAAAGGCTGAGAGACTTCACTGTGGCTCCACTAGTCAGGAAATGAGAGGTGCAGAGCATTCACAGCTAAGAAGAAAACAGGCACAGAGGAAAGGGTCTGGATCTAGAGTGTAGTCTGTGATGTTAGATCCTGCTCTACTTGGTTCAGGCTAGGTGACGTGGGACAAGTGACTTTTAATCCCCAAGTCTTACTTCTCTGCTCTGCTCTAGGGGGACAATAAAACATACCCTGAAATCTACCCTGGTATGATGTTCAAGGGTTAAAGCTGGTCTGCCTCACTGGAGGAAGAATTAGAGAAATGAAAGGTAAATCTGATGAAAATATCCAGAATGGAGCCTGAAAAGATATATCAGTTCAGTTCAGTTCAGTCGCTCAGTCGTGTCTCTTTGTGATCCCACGGACTGCAGCATGCCAGGCCTCCCTGTCCATCACCAACTCCCAGAGCTTACTCAGACTCATGTCCATTGAGTCGGTGATGCAATCCAACTATCTCATCCTCTGTTGTCCCCTTCTCCTCCCACATATAATATGGAAAATACCGAAAGTGAGGTGTAGAGAATTAAAGGAGATGCAGTGAGTATACCGAGCACATGGTTAATGTGAATCTCAGAGAGAAGGAGAGGGAAAAGTACAAAACTGATATTTGAAGAGAACTTGGTTGAGAAGTTTCCAAAAGTAACAAGATATCAACTTAGGATAACAATGTTAGTTAGAGAAAAAATTTAAGGAAAAACATTCCTTAAAAATGTATTCATTTCACCATAATGTAACAAAAAGTCAGAAATTTTGTGACCAGAAAACTCGAACTAAAAGTAATGTTACAGGCTCTTCTTTGGGCAGAAGAAATATCATCCCAGGTGGAGTCACATAGATACAGGAAAGAAAGACTAATGTCATTTGTGAATATGTAGGCAAATTTAAACTATATAAAATGATGATAGCAATATTTTCTGGGGGTTCACATATATACAGAATGAAAATGAATGGCAATAAATTTGGAGAGAGTATGTGGAATCAAAGTGTCTCAAGGTCCCATAATTGTCTGAGGAGTTTTAAAGAACTAATTAACTAATATTAGACTGTGAAAGGACTTCCCTAGTGGCACAGACGGTAAAGAATCCACCTGCAATTAAGGAGACCTGGGTTCGATTCCTTGGTTGGAAGGATACCCTGCTGAAGGGAATGGCAGCTCCGTCCAGTATTCTTGCCTGGAGAATTCCATGGACAGAAGAGCCTGGCGGGCTACAGCCCATGGTGTCCCAAAGAGTTGGACAAAACTGAAGCGACTTACCATGCACCACCACCAGACTGTTAAAAGGCAAAAATGCACATTGTAATATGAAGGGTAAGCACTACAAGAATAGCAAAAGAATGTTTAGATATCTGCATTAATTAAGAATTCAATAGTTACAAAATATTAACCATTTCAAAGGAAAGGAAAAGGAACTTAGAAGCAGCAAAAATAAATACATAGCAATATGATACACATAAAACAAATTATATCTATTTTTACATTAAAAGATTCAGGATAAATATTCTAAATAGAAAGACATACATTTTCAGACTGGACAAGAAACATTTCATCAAACATTCTTGAAAAGAGAAACATGTGAAATTTAATCATCAGGAAAATCTGAAAATAAAAAATGACAAAATTTATATCTTGTCCACATTAGCCTACAGAAAACTGGTATAACCATATTAGTAAATGAAAAGGTACAGTTTAAAGAGAAACATTATAAGAAAAAGAGGGAGATTTCTTTATGATGACAGGTTCAATGCAATAAGAAGATATTAATACAAAACTCTAAAGTTGTATTCATGTCTTAAAATAGAGCCAAAATATGCAAAATAAAACCTGATAGAAATAAGCAGGAATGGACAAATCCACAGTCACAGTGGGAAAATTTAACACATCTCACTGAGTGACACATAAAATGGCAAACAAAAACTCAGCTAGAGGGAGAGGATTTTTAAATGTGACTTAAATAAACAAATTTATTTAATTGACATAGAACAATGCACATAGCAAATACTCACTGAACATTCCAGAATAGATCATATGCTAGGCACAAAAGCAAGTCTCAAAAACTTCTAAGGACTAATACAATTTACCCTGACTAGTTAATGCAATATTCAGTAGCAATGGTGGGGTTTCTGCCCCTCCCTCACCTCTAGTATAAATACAAAGAACATTAGTTTACACAGTTCCACCCTCCACCTAGGTTACCATCCCCACTCTCCAAACCCTAGACCCAAGAAGATCACATTACTCATGCCTTTTCCTTAGCCAAGGAAAAAAAATCACCCAGCCATGGCCATTTCCATAAGAAGGTAAGTTTTCCACCTGCAATCGGGACGGGTGTGTCAGAGCCCATGTGGCCCATTTCCTCAGGAGAGTAGAAAACAGTCAGCCTGGGCCCTCTCTCCCCTTTCTCTAAAGGAGGGTTGGCTGGTTGGAGGTCCTGTGGGTTGTAGTGGGGGAGGGAACCCAGAAACCCTCCTGTCCTGTGGAGATCTGAAAAGAAGTTCTCATGCAGACTGACTCACCCATGGAGTGACCTGAAGGCAGAGATTTGTCACCGCTGTCGTCACAGACTGCTCTAGAAGAGAACGCGTGGGTCTGGAGCTGGAGGTTTGGAGAATATCAAGGAAGGCTGCCAAGGAAAGAGAGAGCAGGCCCCAAACTCTCTGTCAATGCCAAGCAAGATGGAGTCCTTACAGGAAGTCCTTTCCCCGAGGGCATAGAGGAGGAGAGCCCTGGGGGCCAGAGGAGCTTTAACTTCTTATAGTAACAGCCCTCTGGGTTTTCTACCAGCTTAACGCCCAGGGACCATTTCCAACTAAACCACTCCTACAGAGGTGTTAGGAGGCACTGGGGACCCAGGTACTTATAGCTACAAACACAGAGGACTCTCTGTGCCAGATTCTGCATCTGCTACAGTACACTGTGTTCCTTCATTCTGCAGACCAAGAGAACTGTGAGTGCCAGAGGTAGGAAAAGTTCTGTACTTGCTACATTGCATCTGTTCTTCCATGTATTCCTCACAAGGAGATTCTGATATCAGAACCAACTTTTCAAGGTTGCTGAGGCTTACCGAGGAGCTGGAACTTGTGGAGTCATTCAGATGCTACCTGGATCAATAGAGACTGGAATTGAGCTCCAAGGAATTGGGTTGATTTCCCTATGCACAGATTCACTAAATTCTTGGTTAAGTTGGTACAAAGTAACAAAATGTGATAGTAGTCAAATGTCTGAAATTAATACCAGTTCATCTTAGAGAGAGTAACAACAAGAAGAAAAAAAAAAACAGAGAGAGAGAAGAAACATACACTGGAATGGGTTGCCATGCCCTTCTCCAGGGCATCCTCCCCACCCAGGGATTGAACTCATGTCTCTTACATCTTCTGCATTCTCAGGCAGGTTCTTTACCACTAGCACCACCTGGGAAGCCTATATAATATATGATATATAGTCAATGTAGATAGATGACCCTAGTGGCCAGAACCAGAATTGTAGCTCTAGTGCACCAGCCAGAAACTTCTGGGATCTTCCACTACTTTCTGGAATTTTCCACTCCTTGCCCACAACCCCTTCCTGGATCTCTGTCCTTCCTGAAAGAGGAAGTCCAGCCACAGAGAGGTGGAGAAAAATCTGCATGTGAGAGTGTGAACATTTGAGGTAAAAGAAGCATAAGACAGAAAATCACACTCAATACAGATAAACTGTCAAGTCAAAAGCTGAAATATTTTATTTTTTATAAAACAGTATCATGTGAACATTTTGACAACATGATACATATACATGAATTTTTTTGTCATTTGGTTATTATTTTCAATTGTTTAAACAAACTTTCCTTATCAAAATATATTAAACATTTAATAATCTATACTTAAAAATGAAATTATTTTACACATTCCATATATATGATCCCCTCACCATGACTTGCAGGTCCCAATATATTCAATGCATAAAGACTGGTGTTCACACTCCAGATGTATTTCTCTTTAAGTAATTCGGTTCAGTCGCTCAGTAGCGTCTGACTCTTTGCGACCCCATGGACTGCAGCATTCTTTAAGTAATGTGTATGCCTAACTTAAAATATTTGTGTATTTGTGTCATTTTAGATACTGTACATCCTTCTAAAATTTGCAATCACATACATACAGTTTTCTGCGGGTTTCTCGGGTGGTGCTTGTGGTAAAGAACCTGCCTGCCAATGCAGGAGACATAAGAGACACAAGTTTGATCCCTGGGTGGGAAATAGCCCTTAGAGGAGGACATGGCAACCCACTCCAGTATTCTTGCCTGGAGAATCTCATGGACAGAGAAGCCTGGCAAGCTACAGTCCACAGTGTTACACAGAGTCGGACACCACTGAAGTGATTTAATATGCACAGTTTTCTGTAAATTGAGTTTTTCACTTATCAAGACAACTCCAGATTTTCATTTCCTCAGTTATTGTGGTTGGTCATCTTTCCAGATGTTTTTGGAGACAGCATTTTGCTTTTTAGGTGAGTTATTTGCTATTGTCTTTTGTCCCTTTTTCCGCTGATAAGTAAAAGTCCTTTCAATTATTGAATATAAGCACAAAATCTGTAGCATTGTTTGAAATATTGACTCTCAGCTTTTAAATCTTTGTATTTTTTTTGATAGTACAGAAATTCTTTAGATTTATAGATTTTTAAATTTAAGAATAATACAGCTATAATAGAAACAAATGTATAATACATAGGATTGCATCAACTATTAGTCCACTGGGAATTCTAGACTCAAAGCCTTGAGAACTTCAGGACAAAATGTAAGAAAACTTTAGACCAAATTCTACATTAATGAATAATGGGGAAAATATTTGAATATTTGTTTGCTTATACGAGATACCATGTAAAGTGTATCTGACCTAAAATAATTCCATAAATGATAATTTCCTTCCCTTCATGGAGGCTAATTCCCTCTGCTTCGACCTGAACCCCATGCAAATCCCTCACAAAGGTCAATCCCTGGGGCCCTATACCCAAGGAGTGGATTTCACTTACATCATCTTCAAGACAAAGATATGGAGGAGAGGGTTGTATCAGCATGACATTGACACTAGAAAAACTAAAAACTGGATATGTGGTACAAGAAAAGCTTTTAACTCTGTTACAAAGTTATTAGAGAAATTTAGGCGAAGTTAAAAAAAAAAACCTTTATTCTCTCCAAAATTCTCATATATAAAGGCATATGAATTATAGGAAAAGCATTTTATAAGCAACTGTTTAATACTGTCTTATATAAATAAATCTGATTAGTAAAAAGTGTGTCATTCAAATCTATTGAAATAATTTAAATAAGAACTATGCATTACAAACCTATAAAGATTAAATAATTATATATGCATTTTATATATACAGAAACATTATATAACATATGAAGAACAGTGTGTATATATACATATAGAGAGAGAAAAAATTTAAGAATATATATGTTCATGTGAACCTGTTTATATAGTACTTCACACAGAGAAATATTTCTGGGGAATGTAAATTAAATTGCAAAAGGTGTACATCTTGCTATGTAAGAAGATAAAAAATATAGAATAATATTTTTTTCTAATAAATACACCTTCCTGAACTTCATTAGCTTTCAAAATAAAAATATTAATTTGAAATCAGAAAAATAGCTGATTTAAAATTTTATAACATTATGATACATACCTGGGTGGGAATTTCATTGCAAAGATAATGCATACATATGTGACTTAAATGTATATATCTCAATTTATATATTTTTGCATTACCCTTCTCTCAATCACATATATATGTACATTTCTTGTCATAATTGGAGGGAGGGGCTGAAGAAAAGTTCTTTCCCCTATATTTAATGTACATGGTCTCTGACTCACCCTTAATGCTTCATTTGCCACAAAAATCTTCCAGAAATTTCCGTGTGATGGGCACGTTGTTCTCTTCCTCCTTCCAAGGCTTCCTGCTGTGACAGCCAAGTTGCCATTCCATATATGCTCACCAGGTGGCGCAGACATCTAATTTTTGAATTTTATCCAGTGAAAAATGGATTATTTGGGAAATGGAATGAAAAATGTTTCAAAAGTTTAAAAAGAACATATAAAATAAATGCATGCTTAAATTGCTTTGCCTAACGATTTTCTTCTTCTTTGTGGTTTTCCAGATAGAAATCACAGTAATAATATGACTCCTCTTAGGGGACTGCTGATTAGCATATGCCTGAGGTGGGAGCAAGGAGGGCAGAAGGGATTCGTGTACATACTGTCTATGACTGTCCTGTAAATTTCACAAAGTTTTTCCTGGCGTGACAGACTGCAGGGTAAGGGATTTCCACTTTGTATTTTCCAAAAGGATGAACCTGGTTACAGGATATTTCCTTTGGTTGTATCTGATTTGTCTCCACTCTCCTCTTCTGCTGGCTAAAGCCTCCTTAGCCTCAGATCTCAGCTTAGAGGTCGCTTCACGTGAGAAATCCCAGATATACCCTACTGGTTTGATTAGCAAAAGCAAAGGCTAGCAGAGTTTTGAAAAGAGAATTCACTGGTCATAGCAAACACCCTCTTCCAACAACAAAAGAGATGACTCTACACATAGATATTACCAGATGGTCAATAATGAAATCAGATTGATTATATTCTTTGCAGTCAAACATGGAGAACCTCTACACAGTCAGCAAAACAAGACCAGGAGCTGACTGTGGCTCAGATCATGAATTCCTTATTGCCAAATTCAGACTTAAATTGAAGAAAGCAGGGAAAATCACCAGACCATTCAGGTATGACCTAAATCAAGTCCCTTACAATTATACAGAAATGAAGTGAAGTGAACTCACTCAGTTGTGTCTGACTCTTTGCAACTCCGTGGACCCACCAGTCTCCTCCATCCATGGGATTCACCAGGCAAGAGTACTGGAGTGGGTTGCCATTTCCTTCTCCAGGGGATCTTCCCGACCCAGGAATCGAACCCAGGTCTCCCACATTGCAGGCAGACGCTTTAACCTCTGAGCCACCAGGGACGCCCATACAGAGGAAGTGACAAATAGATTCAAGGGATAAAATCTGATAGACAGAGTGCATGAAGAACTATGGACGGAGGTTCCTGACATTGTACAGGAGGCAGTGGTCAAAATCATTGCCAAGAAAAAGAAGTGCAAAAAGGCAAAATGGTTGTCTGAGGAGCCCTTACAAATAGCTGAGAAAAGAAGAGAAGCCAAAGGCAAAGGAGAAGAGGACAGGTATATATCCATCTGAATGCAGAGTTCCAAAGGATAGCAAGGAGAGATAAGAAAGCCTTCCTAAGTGATCAGTGCAAAAAAATAGAGGAAAACAATAGAATGGGAAAGACTAGAGATCTCTTCAAGAAAATTAGAGATACCAAGGGAGCATTTCATGCAAAGATGGGCACAATAAAGGACACAAATGGTGTGTACCTAACAAAAGCTGAAGATATTAAGAACAGGTGGCAAGAATACACAGAAAAACCATACAAAACAGATCTTAATGACTCAGATAACCATGATGGTGTGATCACTCACCTAGAGCCAGACATCCTGGACTGCAACGTCAAGGGGGCCTTAGGAATCATCACTATGAACAAAGCTAGTGGAGGTGATGGAATTCCAGTTGAGCTATTTCAAATTCTAAAAGATGATGCTGTGAAAGTGCTTCACTCAATATGCCAGCAAATTTGGAAAACTCAGCAGTGGCCACAGGACTGGAAAAGGTCAGTGTTCATTCCAATCCCACAGAAAGGCAATGCCAAAGAATGTTCAACCTACTGCACAATTGCACTAATCTCATACTCTAACAAAGTAGTGCTCAAAATTCTCCAAGTTGGGCTTCAACAGTACATGAAGAAAGAACTTCCAGACATTCAAGCTGGTTTTAGAAAAGGCAGAGGAAATAGAGATCAAATTGCCAAT